TAATAAAAGAGCTGGTTGTTTTCCTAACAGCACATAGTGAGTCGTAGTTTTCGCGCTTAACATTATCTCTGTCACATAGAACATGCGTGGGCAAAATATGGCACCGCTGAGTTTCTGTACTTGGTTATACGAGCGAGCACATAATCTTTTATAATGACTTCTAATGCTACCTGATGAGATGCGATGGTGGGAGAGTCAAGAATATAACGGGAGAGAATAGTGTTGAGAGTCAGACAATATAGATTTAGACCATTTCTCGCGTGAGTTCAGGTGTCTGTCTATCGACTACAGTAGTAACAAGCTGACTTAATAGTGGCACATTACTTGCCCGACTGACAACCTTTAACACCCTCCTCCTCAATATGACACAGTCCTTTTTGAGTAGCCCATGAAAAACTAAGGGGGGGGGGAGCAATAACGAACAATAGGTGAGATGCAAGAGTTAACAAACTGTAAAAGTACAGGTTGAATGGTGCCTACCTGATTGTCTTAACTTCTTGATGTAGAAGGTTAGTTGGTACATATTCTTAGAAATCAACAAGAACTATTCCGTGATATTTTATGCTAGACCGACTTAGTTTCTATTTCAGTGCCCTCTACGCTACGTTACAAAAATCATGTGAACGGACCAGTTCTTGTAGATCACGTTTATGCCTAAAGGTAAAGTTAATTGCACGTGAATTCACTATTGTTTGAACCGATAACATTTCGACTAGCAAATTATCACTCACATAATTACATCAAGGTCATATCTCAACACTAAAAAACGGCCTAAAATGAAAATATACTCTTCTGGCATAAACACTACAGGAGAAGTACTATTTTTAAAATAACCCAACTGCTGAAATACACGCAAATATTGGGGGATGGAAAATACGAATCCTTCCCCATACTTTTACTCATGTTTTTCCTATTATAAAAGGCTACTTGAGACAAACTACTGGGCCGAAAACAGTCTGCTGTCACCCTGGGCATTATTAAAGTTAATTTGGGTAAACAGAAGAAGAGGAGAAGGAAGCGATCAGCTAGACACGCACACGCACACGCACACAAATACAGAAAGCGAGTAGGCTTATCGTCTAGCAAATTATAACACAAATACACACATATATAGTGTATTGTCTGCTCACGCTTATCTATTAGTTACGCACTGGAAAAAGTCAAACTGGCGCGACATATGTTTACAATAAGCTTTTTTTCCCGTTGGCTAAGTTAAAATAGTACCGATTCTATTTCTAGTTATTGTTGTCATAAGGAACAATATAAACTCAACGTAAAAAAACTCATTATTTTTCATCTTCCCATTTAAATTATCATAATTATAAGCTATCGTGGATAACCAATCAAATCGCTTCGGAGGAAAAAATTAACCAATCACGTATCCAATCGACTAGGCAGAATCGATCAATACAGGATAAGCATAAGCGAAATTGACAATAGAATTGAAATACCCCTTAAATAAATCGCATTTAACAGGCAATAATATAAAATAGTTACAAGTGTTTTATGATGAATTTATCAGTAGTTTGTTTTGAACCAACAAATGCAAAAAAGAAGTAGGACAAAAACAATAGGAGAACAAAGTCTACTCAATATTTTAAATAACTGAGGCACTACCGATCCGAAAGTCCAGGGGCACACGATGCAGTCAAAAGAATTTATATCCAACCTTTGTCTCTACTATGGCCATCATAAAAAATCAATTCTCTCTCTCTTATTCCGCCTTTCTTATCCAATCTTTCTGTTTATTCCTGTTATTTTGAGGCTTTTTAATCCTTATTTGCACTACTATGCCTGATATCCGGATTTCCTATCTATTTTGTTATAACTATATTTTTAATCAAGGACCTCTACTCGAAGTCATGCACTCAGCCAGGTTATTGCCTGAAGAGGGAGAGTTGTCATCTGAAGTGGTGACAACTATAGTGGTGTCCGTCAGGGTTGTCCACCACCATCCTCATTTCTGTTTAATTTCATCATGGATGTACACACTAATGGGCTTAACCCTAACTGAAATCAGTAACTCAGGGATTGAAGACTTGCTAACAAGGTATAATCTAGTTGACTTAAAATATGCCAATGATATAGTCCTGATTCTAGGTAGAGACTTTGACAAAATGAAGAGTTTTCTCAACACCTTGAGCTGCAATCTTCGAATGTTTGGTATGTGATTCGCTCCCGTCAAATGTAGTATGATGGTGCTACAGGACTGGACTGCATTGACTACTCCTAGCTCAAAGATAGGGAGTGAAGTGTTTGGTGCAGCATGTTGACCACTTTATTTATTCGGCAAAGAGTATCAGTCAGTCCCAGCTCGTCGATTGCTGAGGAAATCTCAGCACGGATACAGAAGGCTTGTTTGGCGTATGCCCACTTACGCTATCTCTGCCTAAGTAAACATGATATCCGGGTGGCTGTCGACCGAAGGACGTATATTACTGAGCACCAGTTCGCTCCATCCTCTTTTATGTCTGTGAGATATGGTCATTCAAAGTGGAGGATATGTAAACGTTAGCCGTAAACGGGTGAATAATATTGAGGTTAGGCGTCCGTCGAGTGTGAGGTCAACTGAAGAGGTTGTGAAGTTACACCGATTGAGATGGCTAGGGTATGTGTTACGCATTCCTACTCATCGCCTTACTCAACGGGTAATGTTAGCTGAGATAGGATCAGGTTGCTGGAAAAGAGCTAGTGGTGGTCGAAATGAAACCAACATGGCTTCATCCGTCAATGTTAGTTTCAGTCAGCTAACCACGTAGGGAGGTGTAGACTGCCACGCTGGTTGGGGTCCTAGGAATAGTAAAAACCAGTGAAGGCTGGAAACAATTAGTGATATGGCTCAAAATCGTTCTCAATGGCGGAGATGCATCCAATCCTTGTGATTTATATTATCCAATAAAATTCTATTGTCCTTCCATATTACCATTCTTCTTCCCTCACACTTCTGTTTATTATCTCTCCTTTTGCTCTCTTCTCTTGCTTTGTGTGCTACATGGAGGGAGTGTGGCAACTCGAACTGCTGCACATCTGTGCAAAGTTCTGCGTTGGAAGCAGTCAGTCAATCACTATATTTTTAATCCCTAATTGCACAAAAAGTCAATTTTCTCAGTAATTATGATCCTACTTACTATGTTTCTTTCATCCGATCTTCCTGTTTAGCATTACATTCTAATTCCTATTTGCAATCTTTTTCATACCAGTGACCTAATGTGCATATTCCGTGGATATTTCGGTGATTACATCTCATCATAAAACAGCATCAGTTAGAGAGATCACTGAAAATCAAAGAGTCCTAGTGCTTGAGACTCCCACAAGGCACTGAACTCGAGACATTCAGGTTACGACACCAAGCTCACTGATCATTTAGCCACTTGAGACGGAATTCATTCATCTGTAAATTCTAACCTCTGTCAATCCATGTGATACAGAGCTATCGTCAATCAATGCCTTTCATGAGGATCAGCTACCCCCACCCCTTTAGCCTCAGTAGTCAAACTACAGCTTCAAGACATCTATCAAGTAGCCATCAATGGACTGGAGAGATTATTATTTAGATTATGGGATCTATGGCGATTCGGATAGTCGATATTTCCTAAACCAAAAACAAATATTTGCATTAAACTACATATACTACTGATTGGTTGAAGTGAGTAGTTGTGTACCAACCATATCAAGACATCAGTGCATACTTGCTAATCAGCCCGATCTAGACATAATCTAAACACCAGACGACCATTTGCCCTCGTTTGGAGTCAAACCCATCATCAGTAGTGTACCTGGTCCAAAGAGCCGGATCAATTCAAACCACCCCGATTTCTGGATGGTTACCTGGTTAAACTGGTGACACCACAAATAAAAACTTGACAATTTGCAGTGTGGTGAAACTTTCACCACAGTTCCCCTCGAAAACAAAACAAATATTTACACTAGAAATGACAGGCGGAAAACGAAATCAAAATAACTGTTGTATTCACTCACTACCAGGTGTTTCAGGCAGGCAAACATCCACACACACACACAACGAAGGAAACAAGAAATCGTTAAAATAAACTACGCGCAATAATTGACGCCTTGAAAAAATAATCATTCTAATAAGAATAAATATAAGCCAAAAGAGTAAGGAGTTTATAAAAATGGTACCTAGTTTAAACCTCTCCCGAGAGAGAGAGAGAGAGAGAAAGAGTCGATAAACGCTCGACAGAATAATTACGGTGATAATAATAATAATAATAATAATGAAAATGTTGATGATCAAAACAAAAGCAATTTATTTCATTATAATACACATACATAAACACTGTTTGTACACATATATTCCGTATAGCCAAGTATTGAAAACCTACGACTGCTTCAACACAAACGCTTACGTACGCACAAACACACATACACACACACACACGAATACACCAATCAAAGAATAGTCTTATATACAGACAACCAACCAAAACCACACAAACCAAATGGAAATCAGGTCAGAGTAATAAAGAAAGCAGAGAGCCTGCTGAGATGTTATTATAGAAGCAGAATTCCTCTCACAATATTATTATTAGTATCCGCATTATTACTATTATTATCATTATTAATATTGTGGTTGGAAAAGACATTAGTATTCGCTGTGTAGCACATATTATGCTTGAATGAAAAACCCAAATGAAATCATAAGAATGTTTTGTTTCCAATTCCCCCAGACAAAGAACGAATCATATTTTCTTTTTTAAATAAGCAAACAAACGTAATTTGGGAAATTTGAACAACAAACACTGAGTCACAGAATAATAAATGGATCCATTTTATTTCGCTTTAAGTATGATCACGGAACGGAAAAGCCAGGCAGTGAGTACTGGACAACTATTTCCCTAAACTAACCCCACTGTCGACCAGCTGCTATTGCTAAGCTATCAAAAGTTAATTACACACTCTGCTGAAGGAAGGAAATCCTGCTAATTGTAAAATAAGACTTTATTGAAAGAAATTTAACACTGGCCAACTGGCCAACTTACTTTGGATAATTTAAACAGAATTCAACATAAAGCTCTTCAAATTGTTTTGCATTATCCAAGAATACTTGTCCAAGTTGTATAAGATTATCACGACTCAACTGGAGATCAGTATGAAGTTGTCTGGAACAACAGGAAAAAAAGAACGTACAGAAACAAACGTATACAACACAAAGTAATAGTTATAAACAGTAAAGAAATTTAATTTACTTCTCACTTAGATAGACTTGAAACTGTTGTTATCATCTGATCAGAAAACGGGCCAATAATGTGAAAGTTAAACGCAAAATATCACTTATTTAACACGAGTCTAGTGTTCAGTTACCTATAGATAGATTGCACTCACAGCTTAATATATACAATAATCCAAATTTGAATTCTGAAGTGAAAAACGTAGATTACTGTTAAACAGGCTGAAGACAATCGACAATTCATCCTTACAGACACTACTCATCAAAAGCGTACACCAAAATTGTAGAAACTGATGTCCCCTATGAAATTCGAAGCCATGTTATTCAGTGTTGCAACCACAGAGATGTTATCACAGCTATCCGGATTGCAACTGACCCCCCCCCCCATGTAAGCCAATCGGAGAGTAATCAGAGTTATACGTCTAGTCCTTATTAGTAGTATCGAGTAAATTTTACCCATTTGTAATTTGGTCCCCCCAATATATTTGTTGTTACTTTTGCTAATTAGCCCCTAACTATTTACACGGGTCTACTAGTCTGAATACAAATACACCAAAACTGTATGTGAGTGAGAGAAGAAATTCAACTCATATCATTCTAATCTTAACTTTAAGTGAAGAAAATAATATTTTTAATCTCCTTGGTGTTTTTCTATGATGAAAAAGATTGATAGCACAGTAGAAAGACTGATATTTAGAAAGTTTTTGCCGATCGGACAGTATGCATACTTTAAGAGCTTTGTGCCCCATTTTGTAATAAAGTGAATTTCGCCAGAACATTGTCCAATGGAGCACAGAAGTTGAAACTAAATAAAAGAACCCGAAGGTTGTTTTACCTAAGAACGGATATCCTTTGAGAGGTTTATCAATCAATATCCTAAGGAAATTAGAGTCAAAGAAGCCTGTACACATCAGTTTACCACATAAACGAGATGATGTACAAGAAACAAAAGCTGCAGTCAAAGTGACAAAAAACTTCGATTACAACGCACCTTATAAACTACTGGGATGATTTTGACTCTATCAAGTCATTCACTATATTGTCAGTAGATAAGGACACAGCAAGATCCTCGTAATTACAGAGGCTTGTGTAACTAGGGCATATAAACCCGGTCTCTGTGCGTAAACAAGAAGACAGCCATCACTTTGAATCCATCACGGTGATATCCTTCGTTTTTGTTAACTATTATTGATACAATTTTGTTTCCTTCCAACCCTATCAATTATTATTGGATTTCATCATGAGCTGGCATTGGTTAGAGAACCATTGGAAAACCTGCAGGGAGTACTGGACAGCTGTTTCGTCCCATTTTGAGACTATTCATCAGTAAGCACCCACAGCCATGGTTCAAACCAAGGACCTTCTGGTTACAAGGCGAGCTAGCTCGTAGACCATTAAGCCCCTGGGACCCAATCCAATGGCCAGTCCATGAATTCTAACTTCTGCCAACTCACGACATAGCGCAACCACTAGCCAATGTCTTCGGCGAGTATTTGTCCTCACACCCGACCTGCTGCACCCTACTGGTCATGGCTTCGCAATAGAACCCCAGGTAAATGCCTCCTACCTGAATAGGGCAATTCGCTAGTGAGCATCTCATCGATATTCAAGTGTTGGTTTGTAGGGATTTGATTGGCTACAGGGTTCGAACCCCGGTGGGTGCGCACTTCTGAAGAGTCCCAAACTAGGACGAAACAACTGTCCAGTACTCCCTGTAGGTTTTCCAATGGTTCTCTAACCAATGTCAGCTCATGATGAAATCCTGTAACCAATCAAATGCCTACATACCAACACTTGAATATCATTATTATAACTTGTTTCATTATAATATTACTACTACTATTATTTATTTATTTATTTATCTGGCCATTATCAACATTTTCAAGTTTTCCATCTGATAACTAACTGTTTATTACAGTGACTCAACTCAACTGTAATCCATTGTTGTCATAATGGCGTCTTACTGATTTGTGGTTATCGTCTAACCTGTCTAGAATGCGACTCCAGACATCCTACTACAACCGACTGATCACTTGAAACTATTCTCCACACTGAGACAGGCACAAAAGTCAGATTTAACTGCAACTGCAACAACAATGTTTTATTATCCCAAATACATGGTGTATATGCAGTTCACAAAATCTCAGGAATTCAAACTATAAATAGATAAACCTGATTGGTTGTATGACATCGTTAATCCTCAGAAATTCAAGCCAAAATTAAACCAATCAAAAACTGTCCAACTAGATTATCATGTCATTGGATGTATGAATTATGACTTCACAGCTAACAAAATAGATTGTCCATCTTAACAATTATAATCTTACTTTTTCAATCTCACTTCCCTCCTCTATCCATCTGTTTGAACTTGACATGTAAAACATTTTTACCTTCGGTTTTGTTTGGATAGATTCATTGTAGTTTATTTATTCGTAACATTTTCTCCTTATGTATTTCTCACAGTATATATGAAACACTGTATGTAGAATATTTACCTGGGTACTTCTACCGAGATCCGGTGAGTGCATTCATTAAATCTGAACCTACTGTCGCATGTCTGAAATCCTTGTCAGGAAATAAGCGTCTCCAATTGTTGTTTAGTAAAATTTGAAAAACACCTATTTTTTATTTAATAGTTTTCCCAAACTCTTTCTCTCTCTACTACCAATCGATAATAAATAAGTCTAAGCCAACATGTGTGCGTAGACGGCACAGAGGTAGAATACTCGCCAACCATACATCAAGTGGTTCAGGATTCGATCTCCGGTCACAGATGCACACCTTTAACTCTCTAAGCCAGTAATGAGACTCGTAAAGAGGGAAGGTTGGGCAAGAGGCTAGCAAACCCATCCCGTAAAAGTAAACACCACCGCTACTGAGACTTCAAAGCTCTACCTTGAAGCCCTATGTTCCACTGGGAACATAAAAGAATAAAAAAGCTAGGCTAACGTATTGTTATTCTCACTTAGCTGTAATACACACCTAAGCGCTCTGAGCTTCCCTAGTCTAGGCACCATCGTTTCAAACGCAGGTGACAGACAGCACGGATGCAGGTGTCAAAACCAGAATTGAAAAGGCAAGACTGACCGTCATCACCCTGAAATTAGTTTGGAAATCTTCTGCACTCAGAATAAAAAACAAAATTCACATTTTGAACACCAATGTTAAGTCAGTCAGTCCTCCTATGTGGGTCAGAGCATTAACAGGCGCGCCACAAAAATCATTTCCAACGTCCGGCTGCAGACTTCTATCATTAGCTGCATTCGCTGCATACTGGAGACCAGAAGACTCTCCAGAAGCGATAAGCGAGCAGTAAAGAACTCTGGGAACAATTCAACGAAGAATTTATTATTATTATATTATTGTTCCCTTGGGTTCCTAGTGGAACATAGGGCTTCAACTGCTTCAACGTCTCCACTTGCTTCTGTCTTGTGCTTTACTTTTCACTTGTGTCCATGTTATTCCATACTGTTTCATCTCCTCCTCACACGATCTCCTCCATGTCACCCTTGGACGTCCCACTCGCCGCTTCCCTTTCGGGTTCCACTCGAGCTATGGCCTGACGCGCGATGTCACCCAACGGCCTCCTGAGCGAGTGTCCAATCCATCTCCATTTTCTCCTGCATATTTGTTGGGCGATTGGTTCCTGTTTTGTTTGTTCCCCAACGAAGAACCTGTTGCTTAAAAAAATATATCCCAAATAAAATGAAGATGGATCGAACACATACTGAGGAGACAGTTGAGTGACACGGTGCGTCAGGCCATCGATCGAGTGGAACACAAACGGAGAAGGGCGAGTTGGATGTGGGCCCGGGGATGACATGCAGGAGATAGTGTGAGGAGGATATGAGAGACTATGCTCAACCGTGGGCACAGCTAGAGAGGACCGCAGAGAATAGGACGAAGTGGAGATGTTCTGCTGAAACCCCATGATGTTCCACTCACAACACAAAGGAACAGTAATAATAATAATAAGTGCTCTGAGATCTTGTGCATTTCCTTTTGTATGTGCATATCGAAAAGCCCGGACTAATGTCTTCACATTGTGCGTCATTGGTTCACACTCGCTAGTCACGCAAGTGGTTGAGGTTCGACTCCTATAGCTCAGTTAGCCAGCAGTAAGCCCGAAAAAGATATAAAGTTGGACTTGATTGTAGGAGTAACCACTACCTTGTCAAACCAACACCAGTGCTTTTGAAAGTCGGAACGATAAGGTAAAATTTCTTTTAAAAGTTAACACTATTTAACATGAATAGGGAAGAGTAAAACTTATCAACATAAAAATTCAAAATTGTATCTGACATTTTCAAAACACGGGGGAATTAAAACAAGACCACAATGAACGATTGAACAGTCGCAAGAAAGACACAGAAAAGTGTAACTCAAACCACATAATACATCATTTGAAAATAATAAGATTAACAAAAAAAATTAAATTGCATTTTTTAACAAATATATTATATCAACTTACGCATGAAAAACTCGTAAATCTGGAATTTTGTAAAAGAGAACGTCTAACAGTTGTGAATTCACACCAATTTCATTCCCTTTTAAGCGTAATAAATAACCCTATGAACAAATAGAAAGAGAGGGACAGATGAAAACTGATTACAGAAAAGAAAAAAAAAGGTATCCTTTCGGCGATTTCATCCGCAAAAGCTTTACACAGTCGCATTTCTCTGTACATCTATTATTACTGAAAACAATTAGTCTCTTTGATAAATTTGAATAAGGCAATTAGAAGACAAATTTCGCGAGATAATATCAGTTCAAGTATGCAGTTGACGGTTCAAAGACTTCGATCAGCCATAAAATGCACATTCTACACCGCGTCTCCTTCCCTTACATCTAGAACATTTCCGATCCCTGTACCTACGATTAAAGGACGAATTTCTGTGGACTCTACTTAAAACTCTATCTACAAGTTCACCTGCAGTTGCAATGACACCTACATAGGTAGAACCAATAGAATGTCCCAATGTTGTCGTAAAGAACATGTTCCAAAGTGGTTATTAAAACACATAGAAAATCCCAATGCAATTAATCTGAATAGAAATCCATCATCATCCATTGCAAAGCACCTATTAATGCCAGGTCGCAAAATCAATAATAATGAGTGTTTCACAATTATTTCATGACATAACTCTAATTCAAGGTTGGTTTTTGAACGTGATGGAAGCACCCTGGATTAATCACAAATATCCTAAACTATGTGTGCAAAAAACAATAGACTTCAGCCTTTGCCTACTATGGACTACTTGACCTATCCAAAATATGACTGGTCATTGGTATGTATATATGCTTTATATAACTGAGTAACTGTCATGAATTTTATTTTATTTTAACATTGTAAACCATGCTAGTTGTAAAGGGATTGTAGAGAAACTACGAAATTATATCATCTCGCAAAATTTATCTTCCAAATGCCTTATTCAAATCTATTATTTTGCAATTTCACATAGTAATCGAGATTAAAAGAGATAATAATTCTCAAGTTGATCTAAAAGTTCGAAGGTGCAAATATAGATTGTAAGCAATGACTGATTAGAAGAGCTCTTATTTCTTAAAAAATATCCTCACTCAAAATGGTTGCCCATCACGTTTCGTAGGGAAGAACATGAAATCGAAACCCCAAAAAAAGAGGAGAGTGCACTTCCGTACTGAAAACAATACACTGCGTATGGATCTAGAATTCTGAAGAAACTAAGCGGCAGGTAACCTGAAGAGCAGAATTTCGAGTCCCCTGAAGAACTTTCCTGCAGAAACACTAACAGTGATATTCTCTAGCCACCCGCTGCTTCTAAGCAGTGTGAAGGACTAATTACCGCATATAAACACTCCAATGGACATAAATCAAGTCACCTGTTACTGTCCAGCTGTGTACATAGGTCGTTCAATGAGCGTCATTTCTAAACGTGTCACACAACAATATCCAAAATGGCTGCAAAGAGCAAATACAGGTTCACAACCAGAAGCGCCACAACTGAAAACCTCGTCAACAACTGTCCCACCACCATCTCAACTCACTCACTCATCATTCACAGTCATCTACAAGGTAAACAAAAATCTACCAAAAGCAATGTGTTTTCCACTTCTCTGTATTGCAGAAGCTCTCCTCATATGCATCGAAAAGACGGAGCTATCTGTTCAAAATAAACTAAGCCCCTTATAATCACCTGTATTCACACCTTCGAACTTTCATATCAAAATGGAAATTATTATCATTTTTAATCTCGTTCGTTATTGTATGGGATTAATTAATAGTTATTGCATCTATGTAAACTTCTGTATATAGATGCGATTGTACAGCCTTTGAGGTTGACATCATTGGAAAGATATCTTTGATGAGTTTCTCATTCTTTTCCCTCTAACATCCTGACGGATATTTTCTACGACAAACTGATTAATCATCTATGCTGTCAATTCATTTTAACTGAATTTGAAATGTGAATAAAGGCGAATTGCATAGAGTTCAGACATTACAGAAAGCGTAATCAGATTTCGTTCGATTTGCAATGCCATTAGGAGGCAAACATACGTACTATGAGACCGTCAGTGATGCTAATATCTAAATAAGTAGTATAAGCCAGAAGTCTAATAAGTTTAAGGGACTAGTCTACTAATGGCTTTTTCAAAACATATCATGACAGATTTGTTTTTATCTAATCTGTTCAATATATAGAATCTGATATTACCAAATCTATACATACTTATTTGACTAGTGAAAGGTTACTACTGAATAATTTTCACTCTTCATTAACCCTACAACCAGACGAAACCCTACATTATGTGAAACAGTGATCCCAATGTATTTAGACAGCTAAAACAAGATTTTACTGCAAAACCTCATTGGGTAAGGTAAAGCTTCTTCAGTACAAACACACTAAGATTATCTGTTGAAATGATTATTAACGTTACCCCTTACTCAAGAAGTGGCTCCACTGGGATCAGATCTCGTTGGAAAAAAAATTACTCACTAGGGATGCATTAGTATCCAATGCTTCCTGGATTTCGCTGTTAGCCATCACAAATCTTTGTTTAAAAAAACGATAAACTGACGTTAAACAACCTTATGATGATTGTATCCAACTCGACTCTCAAACTGTAAAAAAAAACACCGTAATGTTTTAAAACTTTTATATTTGTCTCCACAAATAGTCCCGGTTTTTTAATTATCTTTCGATAATTCCTCAGATTATTTTGAATGAGTCATGAGACGATAATGATTGCAGTTGCGTAGCTTCAATTGCTGATCAGAGTGTATATTTACCAGGTTTGTAGTGGGACGACTGCAACACTAGCGACTAGATTTATACAGGAAGTTACCTAGTAGGAAGCCATAACCAGTGGGAGGACAGTTACGTGCCCGTAAGATTCTCTGGCGGCTGCGAATTGGAAAAAGTTGAAATTCATGGACCGTTGAATCGGCTCCCAGTGGCTGAGTAGTCTACGAGCGCTTCTTGTAACCGGAAGGTCTTGGGTGCAAACTGATGGAGAGTTCCAAGCACTAGGAGGAACAGATGTCCAGTACTCCCTGGATTTTCAGTGGTTCTCCGACTCATGTCAGCCCGTGGCCAATCCTATGCACAGTCCGTCGTTAGAAAGACCGCAATTTAATCTTCGTGTAATAGAACACTTGCCATCAACGTATATTTAGAGAACTTGACGAGAGTTAAACCCAAATGTGACAATAGGATTGCGACAGACATTCGATAGAACTTCAACATCTTTACACAAATGAGACATCAGGCGGAGACTGACACATTCACCTAAATTTATTAATTATCCTCATATTATTTCTGTCATAAATACACAGTACTCTCTTACACTAATGGAAGACCAGAAAACTCTGTGTTGGGCAACAATCATCACCAACAATCTCGAAGATCAGTCAAGGTCCGACAAAATTTGAACTTCACGAACCAATCAGATTTAGGGAACACTGCGAAATGTTATTTCAAATAAAATCATGCTACAAAAGAAAATTCGTTCGTGAAGGTAGGTGTACAGTATTCTTTCTATTCCCTAGGTACTTTTTTCTGCTAAGAGTTAGGGTTAGGGGTGAGTTAAAGAATAGAATCAAGAATACCAATGGATCAGGAAGTACTATGAGCTACAGTCAACTAGATGAATACTTTGATCGCATATAGCATAATTTATCTATCGATTATCCATACACAGTAACTGGGGGATATTCTTACAACACATAAGAGTCAATTATCCGGTGTAACATTATGTTTTCAATGGTTTTTAACACATTTTTAACGATTATGCGACTTTTTTTGCATTTGAATTCTGGTTGGTTGTTCAAAATCACTGTGGTTTCGACTATGATACTTATTTGGCCTGAAGATTTATGGACTTTGTGAGCTAAAAATCCATCTGACATCAAAATTTCATAATACGATAATCCTTGGATAAACAACTAGTTTAATACTTGTTGGTGAATTTACCTAATTCCATTGATAAGTGGAACTTGAGCGGCACTTTGTACAGTAACGTAATACTGGTTTCTAAATGCTCTTTACTCATAAAAAAAATACAGTAACTGATGTCAGCTCATGATGAAATTCTCCAACCAATCAAACAAATCCCTACAAAACCAATACTTGAAAATTGATCTGATGCTCAACTAGCGATTGGCGCTATTCAGGCAGTTAACCTGGGGTTCTAGTGGAAAGCTGTGACCAGTAGAGTACAGCAGGTAGAAGGTGAAGCAGTAACTCATCGAAGAAGACATTGGGAAGTGGTCGCGCTATGTCATGAATTGGCAGAAGTTAGGATTAATGGGCTAGCCATTGGATTGGGTCCCAGTGGCTTAATGATCTACGAGGTCGCTAGCCTTGTAACCAGAAGGACGCATACTTCTGAAGAGTCCCGAAGTAGGACGAAAAGGCTGTTCAGTACTCCCTGATGGTTTTCTAGTGGTTCTCTAACCGATGTCACCTCATGATGAAATCCTCCAATCAATCAAACGAAATCCCTACACAACCAATACTTGAAAATACAGTTTAGTTGAGACAAAGATATTCGTAATTTTTATCTAGGTGTAGGAATGTATAATGATTCATAAATATTCACCGTAGGACGTGCTTTACGCTGACAGCTGCTGTTATGATGTCAGTGAGTGCAGAAAATTTTCCTCTGTAAATTGCTGAACAATATGTATTGTGTGCGTCGGTGGCACAGTGGTTAGGACTCTCGCCGACCATGCACATGGTCCGGGGTTCGATCCCCTGCCGGCGCACACCCGATATCTATGGTCGGCCTGAATTTGGGCTACCGATATCCATGCTGAAAATTCCACACTAGTACTGAAAATACGGTGCGGAATCAAGCTGTAAATCAAAATAAAAATATAAAAATAAAATAAATATTATTATTTTTAAATTACAGCCGACTAACTGAATGGACTTCTGTCCAGTAAGTGAAACAGAACAATCGATTCAACAGTCGTCAATTTATTTTACTAGCTAACTAAATATATATATATATATATATATATATATATATATGCAAGCAGAACAGCCTACAGTCTTAACCGATAAGTTAGACATCGTGAAAATGAC